TGTCATTCCGGAGATGGATGAGAAAGGAGGTATCAAGTACCAAGCTGCTTCTCCTGATGAAGGCGCTTTGGTCGCCGGTGCCCTGGATCTCGGGTTCAAGTTCACTGCTCGAAAGCCAAAGTCGGTCATCATCGATGCCAACGGCCGCGAACTTGAATATGAACTTCTTGCTGTTTGCGAATTTAACTCAACTCGAAAGCGAATGTCAACTATTTACCGATGCCCGGATGGAAAGATTCGATGCTATTGTAAGGGTGCCGATACCGTTATTCTCGAACGACTCAATGATCAAAATCCGCATGTGGAAGTTACACTCCGACATCTTGAGGAGTACGCCTCTGAAGGTCTACGAACGCTATGCTTGGCTATGCGAGAAATTCCCGAGAATGAGTTCCAGGAATGGTACAAGATTTACGATACTGCCCAGATGACTGTTGGCGGCAACCGCGCTGAGGAAGTGGACAAGGCTTCGGAGATTATCGAGAAAGACTTCTTTTTACTCGGCGCAACTGCCATCGAGGATCGCCTTCAAGATGGCGTTCCAGAGACAATTCACACTTTACAACAGGCCAATATTAAAGTTTGGGTTTTAACTGGAGATCGCCAAGAAACCGCCATTAACATCGGGATGAGTTGCAAGCTACTCAGCGAAGATATGATGCTTCTGATCGTCAACGAGGAAACGGCAGCGGCTACACGAGACAATATTCAAAAGAAGATGGATGCCATCAGGACGCAGGGCGATGGCACAATCGAAACAGAAACATTGGCTTTGATCATTGATGGAAAGTCTTTGACATTCGCTCTCGAAAAGGATTTGGAAAAACTGTTCCTTGACTTAGCCATTATGTGCAAGGCCGTCATTTGCTGCCGCGTGTCTCCTCTTCAAAAGGCCCTTGTTGTAAAGCTGGTCAAGAAGTATCAAAAGGAGTCCATTCTTCTCGCTATTGGCGATGGAGCAAATGATGTCTCCATGATTCAGGCTGCACATATTGGCATTGGTATCAGTGGTGAAGAAGGTCTTCAGGCCGCACGAAGTGCGGATGTTGCTATCGCTCAATTCCGCTTTCTCCGAAAGTTATTGCTGGTTCATGGTGCATGGAGTTATCAGCGTGTCACGAAGACGATTTTGTTCTCATTCTACAAGAACATCGCGTTATATATGACCCAATTCTGGGTAAGTGTGACACGAAGCCCCAAGTATGTAAAACCATGGCTAATCCTGGTGGCAGTACACATTCCAAAACGTATTTTCTGGTCAGGTTATCTACGAGTCATGGACACTATCCTTCTACAACGTTTTTTACACCGTTCTGCCCCCTCTGGCGCTCGGTATTCTGGATCAGTTCATCTCAGCTCGCTTGCTGGATCGATACCCCCAGCTTTACATGATGGGCCAACAGAACTATTTCTTCCGATTTAAAGTTTTCACACAGTGGATAGGCAACGCTATCTACCATTCTATTGTGCTGTACATTTGGGCGCAGCTCTTCTGGTATGGTGACCTTATCCAAGGAGATGGCAAGATTGCTGGTCATTGGGTGTGGGGTACGGCGCTCTACGGCGCCACTCTCCTCACCGTCCTAGGTAAGGCTGCTCTAGTCACCAACAACTGGACAAAGTACCATGTTCTCGCCATACCTGGAAGCATGGCCATTTGGTACGTGCTTACGGCCGTCTATGGCATTGTAGCGCCTATGGCAGGCGTGTCCATGGAGTACTTCGGTACCATACCAAGGATCTACGAAAGCCCTGTGTTTTGGCTTCAAACGGTCTGCCTCGCCATTATGTGCCTCTTGCGTGACTTTGTCTGGAAGTATGTGAAGCGTATGTACCGACCACAAACATACCATCATATCCAGGAAATCCAGAAGTACAATATTCAGGACTATCGACCCAGGTCAGTTGATTCCTCGTCACACCATGGAACTCCCGAGACTAACTAACGTACCTCAGAATGGAGCAGTTTCAGAAAGCAATTCGGAAAGTGCGACAAGTGCAACGTATGCGTAAACAACGCGGATATGCCTTCTCGCAAGCAGACGAGAGTCAAACACGTGTGCTCCAAGCATACGATACCACGAAGCATCGTGGACGATATGGTGAAATGGCCAGCTCAAGGCCAGCGGGCAGGTGACCGGCGGAAGAAGAAGGGGAGATGGATCATGAGCAGGTTTATTGAGAATGCCTGTGTGGTTTGCGTGACGAATACAAAATATTGGAGGGTTTACTCAGGAGTTGGATTGCCATTTATTTCAAAGCACCGAGTGGTCGTTCTGCTCAATCACCTTTTTCTGTACTGTCCAATTATCGATGCTGAGAGCTGCGCGTCGTTGGCTCGATGAATTGAAAGTCGCATGATGTATATGCTTTTGGACATCTCGGAGAGGTGCCCAGACCCCTTTCTTAGAACAAGCGAGAACGAGGATACGAAAAGGGATCTAGGCTGTAAGGAAGGAGAACGGCATATTAAATAATGCGTTAGACATGAGAGGTACTATTTATTGCGTTACCTCCTTCGTGGAGGCCAGATATGACTATGTTTTGGTCACATACCATCACCGTAACCAGCCACACCATCTTTCAACTGTGAATATTATTATGAGCAAAAGGATTTCTCCAATTTTTACTTCGAGTCCATCACCTCGACTTGGTGAAACTAACATTCTCAACATGCAGGGTCAAACTGTATTTCGTAACGAGCACTTCACATATGTCATTCATTTCATGGCAACTAGGAACGAACATGTTACTGTGCGGAATGATGTGTCTGAGAGCATGACACATCGACGTCTATATAGGTGCATATGACCAGGCGTCCTTATTTGATCAGCAAATGATGACTAGACCCCCTGATCCACAGAAGGGTATATATCAACATTTATTGTTCGCCTTTTCTAATACAGAGATGTACATAATCCACACTAGGCAAGCTGGAGTTGTCCAAGGTACATAGTAGTTAAGTGACATCCAAGTGTGATGCTTTGCAAGAGTGAACCTTGAACAGGTGGCAGATGCAGGCCATATCACAAAAGAATGCAATAGGATCTGAGACACGACTGTCCTTTGGCAGTGATTTGCAAATAAGGTGTTACGTACCTGGACTTGATGCGCTGTCAAAAAGTCTCCCATAGGGATGGTAGAGTGATCGACTATTTTGGGCGATTGAGGCCAATGAGGATGACGAAATCGGAAGTGACTTTGATGTACAAGAGTGCAGTAGCTGAAACTTGGAATAAGCTACAGGGAAATTGCTGGTAAAGGAGTAGTTTTATAGCAGATAGCAGATACCATGTAGAGATGAGCGTCACGAGGCGCTCGGTTGATTGTATGAACAAAAAGTGCTCTGGATACTCTCGGTGACATCTCGTTTCATCAGCCAGGCATAGCTTACAGAATGCTGTCTTACCATTCCGCGATTACGCATTGTGATTCGTCTCGCTTTCTCGACTTCAGCTCTCCCCAATCTGTCGGACTCCCGAGCCTGAGAACGATCAGTTCGGCGAATGTTGGAGCAAGTGCTAAACCTCGAGTTTTGGTGCGCATAACGCACCTTCTGCGCCCGTGCCCGTGCCCGCGCCATCCATCACAAGAACTGTTCCATGTTACGCAGAAGCTTGACAAATTCCATCGTCGGGGCTGGGGGGCCTGGCTGATTGCATTGGTATTAGTGTTGACATGGCGTGGGGTGGAGAATGAAAATCCGGGGATCAAAGCGTGGAGAAAGACAGGGGAAACTGGAGGAGACTTTTCATGGTTTGAGGGGTCGCCAAGACTAATCTAGTTACAGGAAATGTCAAGGTCGAGGTCATGGAGCAACAGGGAAACGATAAGTGAAGTAACGGTGCCTCATTGAGTCATTAGACTTATTCGTTGTTCTATATTAGATGTTCTCCGTATGTGTATGTAAATGCTAGAAGAAGAAAATGTAGGCCCTACGGGTGCTGACCCTCCGTTGCTGACTACCTATAGGCAGATATGAATGTGATGTGGTTTTATGCATACTTATACTCAAGTATCCTTCGCTGAGTCCACAAGAAAGCCTGCCAAGAATAGGAAATGTTTAAATTGTACAATTGCACAGGTACCCGCTCGCCAAATGCCGTTGCTCATGCTAATAATTTCGTAGCGATGCCGTGTGATGATGTCGTCTCGTGCCTTGTTTGCTTTGCCTTGCCGTGCCAAAGCGTGAACCCACCCTCATGGTAAACGAAATCAATATACAGATAAGAAGAAAAAACGCAAGAAGCCCAGCCTAGCCCAAGCAGTCGCTGTCTAACACCTAACTTGTCGCAGAAACCTGGGCGTTGACCCATGCTCTGCTTCAAATTAAGACTGATGAGCTATCTGTCTGCGGAGAAGTGTGTCCAGAACAGGTCGATCAAGTAACGGCTTGCCGAGTGTGTAAAATGACTAGCAGCCCCATAGAGGGTCTAATAGCAAAAATTATATGAGGATATAAAAATGGAAAACTAACATGGTAAACTCCGTCCCACTCTGAGATTGATAAATGCTGGAGATGCGAAAGAGAGAAACTTTTGAGCGCCAGGAAGACGGTCGGTAGGCACCGTCCCCGAATATGCAATGTGAAAAAAGAAACAATAAATCTCGACAACAAAAACATACCAACCCATGTACTGCGTGCTGTACTCTGTTCAGTACCGAGTACGAAATGAGGGCCAGGAACTTGTTTTCTGAAGGTCCAACTCGCTCAAACTTTCAGCCCCTGTTGCAAGGGCCGCTGAATGCCCCCTGTGAGCTTGATGCCAACCCCGCAAAGCTAGACTTTTGCAGTCCTATTTGGGTAGGCGAAGCTCGCCGGGGTTTATGACCGAAGCTCCGGCCGTGAAGTGAGACATCACCCGTCCAGCAGAACACTCGCCATTTAGCTTCGCTTGTGCTACCAGCCCTTCCAAGCTGTTCTTGAGTTCCACAATGTACTGATGTTTGTACAGACTCGTAGGGCAGTAGGCGCCCATGGCTAGAGCTGAGCGCACCAATCATCTACTGACCATGGGTGTCACCAGCTCAATGCTTCTGGGCCGAGAGTAGGTGCTGGGATGGCGAGAAGGGAGTGGCCGATCCATGCCGCCTGAAGTTGCCTCGTAGTTGTATCCACTACCTCCAGCACCGTAGTAACCCCCGTCATATGTCGATGACAGATATGGGGCAGAAGGCCGGCTGTACGAGCTATATGGGCTGGTTGCTGCACTGCGGCTAAAGGGCCACAGGTTATTGGAGCTGCCTGTAGGCGACGGAGGGCTCGGAGGCCGGACATTGAGAGAACGGAGAGCCGAAATGGCCGAAGTGTGTTGGAATTTCGGTGCTCCGGTTCCCGGAGTGGCTGGTGGAGAACTCAAAATCATGGAGCTGGGCCGTGAAGGAGATGCTCGAGGGATGATGTCTTTGGGCTCCGAGTTTCCCGCAGAATGGAATGGATAGTTTGAGGACGCGTAATGACGGACCGAAGAGCTGGGCTGTGACGATGCCGTCTGATCAACTCTGCGGCAGCTGCAGTGTATTATTAGCATCATTCTGGACCACTATGGTTCAAGCAGGCAGGCAGGGCAAGGTCCACCACTCATGGAAATAGAACTTACTTGTCGGAGCAGTAAAGAAACATGTCGTCATGGGGGATGAATTGCTTTTCGCACGTCATACTAACAATCATGTCAGCAAAACTCTCACTCGTCCATAGGAATTGGTGAGGCGCCATAGTTGAAATGGTAGTTTTTGTTGTATAATTTCTGGACATGACAGCGCAGCCAATGGCCCAGAAGCAAAGAAGCCTCATGATGCTCATGGAAAGCACTTAGAAACACTATGGGGTAACGTGAGACCTACCAAAATTGTGGGAAACTCTCCCTCTCATCTTCCCAAGACTCTGTCCATTCCCGTTCACGTTCGCGCTGACTGCGGCCGAGTTTTTGTGGTGTGTGCCTTCGTGTCATGACGGGCCTCTTGTACTTCGCAGGATCGGTTGCGGTAACTGCTTTTCGCACGTCGGTCGCAGAGGAATTGGGCAGACCGTGGCCCGACTTTTTCCGGCTGTGATGCATCGCGTATAATTGAACAAACAAAATATGAAGGGATAAGGATGGAGAACTTGGACGAGAAAAAAAACAATCCTCAAAAGATCCTGAGAGAAGGGGGGGCAGGTGATATGATATGAGTACAGCACCAGTACAGCCTTCACCGTATGTACTCGGTACCACTGTAAATCAGTGGAGAGTGTAGATATTTAGGGCAGTTGGGGCTGCTCCGGTCAGGTTGCGAAACGCCCTCTCAGCGTGGTTCGACTGCGGGGGGGTCTTATCGAGGCACTAAGCTCCAAAGATCCCCTGAACCTTACTATGTACTCCTTGATTCGATCAACAAGGGGTAGAACAAGGGAAAAGGTTGCAAAATTTTCCCTTGAGCTTGACCGCGTCTGGAGAAATTCCAGAATTGTGTGATAGCAGGGTGCAACAAAGTGGCAAATTGTGGTCGAAAACGCGCATGGGCATGTGCAAGGACGACAGGGCGATAAATTCCCCGAGTGCCTAGTAGTGTTGTAGATGGAGACGAACAATAGTTGAACAAACCGAGACTAACTGACTCAAAGTAGGGCAGAGTCTCCAAAATGAAAAGAATATCCGGTGTAAGTGAAAGACGAATGGGTCGATATCAGTTTTCTTTTCTATTCAAGACCAAGTTGGGAATGTCTGGGCAATTTAGATCTCGATGAGCCGAAAATTTCCTCCTGGTGAAAATCCACGGATGCGAGTTTGACTCGACAATTCGTTACCGCCTAGGAACCGGAATGTTGACGAAAGATCCGCCGCGTGGGGTAGATACCGCGCTGTAATTTGTTCGGCCACGGAAGAAGGCGGTATGTATAAATCGAATGTCGATTCGTGAAGCCCAGCAACAGGAACCAGGCGTGTAAGTGTCGTGTAAGCCAATTTTAGCCGGATTAATAGCCAGTAGTTGATGGGTAGTTTGAGAAAGAGCCGCTTTATTAGCGGTTATAGCTGAGTTTGTTCGTTGCGGAGCTCGAAGGCACGCAGAAGAGTGACAAGGTGGGTATAACTGGCTAGATGAATCCGAGAGACAGCTTGTAGTCTCGATGGAACAGACGGGACGTTGGTTTCTGTTAGGTGGGCGAGGTCGGGGCACACGATGCTAATAAATAAGGGACAAAGTTGGAGACACCTGGTGACTCGGGCCTTGGTTGTCGTGATTGATTGAATGAATGTGTGAGTGAGCGAGGAGCCGAAAGCGGAGATGCAACGCCCGCAAGAAGTCAGCCAATAACCCGCCGCAATCGACCCTGAAAGCTGCGACTATCGGATTGCGCGACAGCTGGGATAAGGCACGATATAGATACTACTAAGCAATCCCTAGGTATGGAGACGTATGCGTAAGTCGCGAGACATAGGCAATGCGTGAGTATTCAGTAAAAAGGTCGGAGGATGCGCCGTCTGTCTCAGGGGGACTGATATGATGTCTGCAGACGTCGTCACACTCTCAGCAAACGTGATGGTATGCCCGGAAACAACGATTAATGAGGGAAGAGGGAATGAATGCTTAGTATTGTCTGTAGATTGAATGATGGATGCTGACCAGCCCTCTCACAGGTAAGTTGGTGAGATTATGGATACTAGTGGAAGGCTCAGATTCAACAAAGGATGTTGGGGTTGCCACGGACCAGCTCAGCTATCTCTGGGGAAGAGGGCTTTCTTGTATGCGGCCACTTTGCTTACCTACTAGGTAGTAGGTAGGTAGGTAGGTAGGTAGGTAGGTAGGTAAGGTAGGTACCTCAGAGGTAGTTAGATGATGTAGATAAACAACCACCAGCAATGATGGGGGAACGGCAATAGGGTTGCATTATCAGGTGCGAACCAGGGACTTGTCAATGTGCATTGGCAATAGGTAGAGCAACAGAATAGGTCATTGTAGCGCATCTAGCGCAGATAACCCTGTTGACAAAATCAATCAGCCATATCTCGTCATCACCACAGAAAGCCATGCCGCACCTCCATAAGAAGGCTCTGCTTGTCCCAATCGACGCTATGTTGCATCGCGGATGGGCGAATGCCAGGCACGCATCTTTCTGTTCGAACACTTTTGGGTGAGAGTGAAGCGGGCTGGTGTAGCTACCTAGGTACCTACCTTACGGAGTAGTACCTACCAGCTAGGAGGCGGGGGCGTTTGCGTTAGTAGATAGAAGTATTACTCGTTATCTTCCATTGGCATCCTTTCAAGGGTTCCTTTTTCAAGGGTTCAAAAAAATAAAAAAGTGGATTTGCTCGCGGAAAGTTGAGAGCAATTCATAGCCCGCTTTGATAGTCATCGTGTCTCGGCTGCTAGGATGGGGGGCAGGTGACGGTGGCACACCATGCTATGGCACAATCGGCAATGATACAAACCTCACAATTTGGTAAACCGTCAAAATGAAACAATCCAAGGTAACCAATTCTGGATTGGATCTAACTGAGGCAAGTACTTATAGTACCTATCATTTCTTGCCTGAGCGCGTTGAACTGAAGAAACTGACCCAGGATGGTAGACCCCTAAGATCCATACTGCCTTTCCTACTAGCCTACCAGGAAGCTACCTAAATTTCCAGGTCACCGTCCATACATCAATAGGTTCAGAGTAGTAGAGGAAATGAGGATGAATCTATCCCTGAGTTGGAGTGCACAAAGGACATGCCCAGACGCGAGAGTTGAGACAATATAACAGAAGGTAAATATGTTCTAAAGGTGTCAAAATATTTCTGTCATCCAAGATTGAAGTTCCAATGAAGGACCTAGGGGACTGGGCACCCATGAATTGCTGCTGGACTACTGCAGCTTCAGGCACGAGCCACAAGGCCCATAATAGGTCCCAGGATATAAAATTTATTAGCTCATCCTGTCCACCGTACGAGGCACGTTTCGCCGTCTCGATATGTGTATTGTCAGACTCTGTACGCAATTGCATCGTAACGCTCCATCAATTACGCAACAGAAGTAAGTCTTGTTCCTGACAGACCGCTAATCCAGTTTTCTGGCGCCCACCCTAATAAGTGACGTTTTTCCTAAATGATTGTCCCGAAAGCTTCGCGGGCCGGCACATCTTGTATGTGCGGGAAGAAAGCCGCTAAGCCAAGGAGGGGCGCAAGTTCTAGCTGCCCTGATGATGTGCATCCCTTAACATCCAATGGGTGATACATGCGTGGGAAAAGTCCCCGAGAAAGAGTACCGATAAGACTGCCTATCAGACAACCCATGTGGTGCCTCCAAGGGGAAACATGGAGATGGTGTGACAGTCGTTGATCTACAGTATGGTCCTCGCATGCCAACCTGGTGAAGATTTGACACAACAGTCGAGATTACGTAGTTCATTATGCCCATGGCTGCCATGATGAGTATTCCAACACATGTGGTCGAATCTATCCGGAGCCTTCAAGGTGTCTGACGGTACACATTACCTACTGGATAAGGTAGTAACACCATTGTTAGATTCGCACTAGTCCACCGCTCCAAGTTTCTGTCATGTCTAAGCCAAGGACTCCACTACCCAAACACACACTGAGCTTCTTGGAAGACCTACCTACAGTTCACAAAGCCTGTGTCGATTTTGACGATTCGCGCTGTTATGCACTACGTGATCAAGCATTGAAACAAGCGCATACAGGTAGATCAAGTCGATGAGGCAACATTGTCGAAACATTGCATGCAACGACCGAGCCTAGAGCCCCGCCGTGATGGACAGACACTGAAGTTACAATTGATCAGCTTCCCCTCTTCATGGTCTCTCGCAAGGGTCTTGACTCTTGTCATTGTCTCCGCCTCTTGACCATCCGCTATCGGCTGATCGCGGGTCATTAGCAGTGCTGCCCTGATCCGCTCTCTGAGTGAACGGTTCACCAGTTTGGCAAAGTGCCTAATCGTATGAAGCTGTTTCCCCGGTATGGAGGAATTAGTCTGTGGGGTCCGGTCTATGGACGCCGCAACTAACCTAGAGGCTCTATCTGGGGGTTGGTGAGATATGTACCAGGATAGGTACTAAACCGAGTCAGTTTGTGGACCTATATCAGACCAAAATTCATATGAATCATCACGCAGGTTGACAGTTCGCTCCATTGAACTCGGCCCCGAAACTACTGCTTTGTTGCACTGATACAATCGAGTGTTTCGATGCGTAAAGGGCTTTTTGTCACACTGCATCCTGACCGCTGTGGACGGCAACCAGAGAGGCACCTAGGCTTGAGAAGCCGCGTGGGATGTGGGGAACTTCAATGCCAGCATGTCCAGGCTCCATTGACCTCACATCGTGCGTTTCGTTTTGGCCCAGGAACTGATTCCGTTGGCCGGCTCCTGTTGATAACTCCCGCTAATCGGGGGCTTGTGACTGCAATTGCATGATAGAGAGGGTTGGATGCAACGGTCCTGTCAAAATGAGGCCCATCAGTGCCAGATCTCTATGAACCCTGATTGTAATGCCCAATCAAAATCTGGGCACAGTCTGAATGTTGCAGACAAAATAATGCATTCACAGCTGCCACTGATAACGATGAGAATATGGAACCTTCCATGGGCCGTCAGGGTCGTACTATGTATTTGATGATCATTACCTAGGGTTCAAGAGCACCATGGCAAGCCGATTAGCTCGTTTGTTTGGGATTCTCACCTCTGAGGCAGGCATTTTTCGCTTCCCTTGCATCCAGGCTTCCATTGCATTTCATTTCATGTAAGGACCCGTCTTTTTTTGAAGCTCAAGAGCCTCCACTTGAGGCTCACCAACAGCCCACGACCGCTTCGGTCTTGCGGAGTCGCTTTATTTTTAGCAGCCCCTTCGCAACTGTATCAAAGCCAATGGATACACCACGAAGCAAGGAGATAGGTAATTTCTTGTCTTCCTCTTCTATGACCTTGACTGTATGGGGTTCTCCGGCCAAGCTGCTGCTTCACTGTGACAGGTTCATTGCCGCCTAATCCAGGACTGTTTATCAAAGACCCATGATCCCAGCCACGGTTTGATCGCATCATTTGGACACACGGGCCAGTCGTTCTCGCACACTGGTTCAAGC